GCAACTTAAATGTATCTGCAATAGAAAAGTATATTTGTGTACATGTACATGAAATTTAGTGTACTTTTTATGAAATTTTACGAAGTTTAATACATTTGTTAAATTTTATGATTTGTGTGAAATTTAATATAAATAAACGTTAAATTTAAATTATTTATAACTTCATTTTCATTTTGATAATATTAAATATTTTTAATACTTGAATCTGCTTGAAATTTTACATGTTTTATTTTACATGTAACGGGAACAAATTTCTTTTTTTTTTTAACAATTTATTTTGCACTTGATACAGAAGATATGGAATAGATTTTACATGAAAAGTTTGTATGACTCTTTATCAAGAAATAAATTCACAAATACATTTCTACGAAAAATAAATATTCGTGTAATTTTCTATATTAATAATCGCTTAATAATTGCTGAAATCTCTTTTTAGAAAAAAATTATTGAATTTCCAACGTATAGTACATAGTACAATTAAAAATTCTGAATATGCATTGTAAATTATATCTAATTTAATTTAAAATAAAAAAAGATAGTTCTTTTAATCTATTGAATGTAAGTAGTTTTGATGATAGAACTCTTTATTAATTGTAAATCTTTATTAATTATTGTAATTTATTATTGTAATCTTTATTAATTGTAAATTATAATATGCAGATTTTTCAAAAATGTCGATTTTCGATAGTTCAAATAATTATACTTTTTTTCGATTCATATCTATACTATTTTTTTTTATTAGTCCAAAGGGGTTAACTAAAAAAATTGTACGAGTTTTTGCTTGAACATTAAATTTAAAAATTTGAAAATTTTTAAACCAAAGTAGTCATTTTTTGCGAATTTTTCCAATAAAATTTCTTTAAAGCATTGTAATTAATAGAAAATAAAATATTATTTATTTAATTCATATTTATCTGTCTTTGTCTGTTTTTGTCTGAGATATAAATTTCAACACGTTTTGAGATAAAAAAATACATATTCAAAGATACATCGTGACAAAATTGCAGTTTCATAAAACCTTAGTATGATCTTCCCCCTTAGGGAAGGAATAACCAAAAATAACAATGTCTAGAGATAAGTTTAGAAACATTTTCATATATATCATGTAATTAAATGCAAGAATTTATAAAGAAAAAATTAATTTGTGAAAAATTGTTTTGGAGGTTTTTGCCTACAGTATCGTTTGTCTACATCACTCTTGCCTACATGTATTATTGTCTGCAGCTCGATTGCCTACATGTATTATTGCCTATAGCTCTATCTCTTGCCATTTTTTATTTGTCATTAAATACTAAATATTTTATATTTTTCCCTGTTTCTACACGAAACGACTCTCACTCCACCTTCCCCCATGCAAACAACTTCCATAATTGTACTATTGCACATGGGTTTCAACTTTCCATGCGAAGCGACTCTCGCCTCACTTCTCACCTCCCCTCTGCAAAGGGGCGCACAACTTCCATAATTGTACCGTTCCATAATTGTAGCGTTACCACATGTTTAGAATTCGAGAGTACTATTATGGATATTCATTCTTATGAGAGCTGTTTCCATTATTGTCAATATTTACCAATACAAATTGTTTTCTTATTTAATTTTAATTTTATATTTGTGCGCAAAAGAGCTGTAGGTAATAATCAAGCTGTAATAATATATGTAAGCAATCGAGCTGTGGGCAATAATATATATAGGCAATAATACACAGGCAAAAGTAACTCCGTTTTTAAAATTGTTAATAAACTTTTCGAGATTTTTCACCTATTCTGAATAGATGAAAAAAAAGAGACGGATTCTGATGATCCATTTGGATGGATAAGGCACTAAATTGTATCTCATAAGGATTAATTCTTACTGAAAATATTAATCATGTAGATTAAAATTAAAAAAATAAATGTATCATATACTGATCTAAGCGATAAAATATTTCAAAAATATCTTATGAGAAGTGAATATTAGAAAGAGAAAGACTTTAATTACAGCTGATTAAGTCAGTACCTTACTTTACTGTTCTATCTATCATATTCTATACGATAACGAAGCAAATGATTCAATAACATATATGATGAAAATATAACTAATGCAATAGTACTCAGCTTAAAAAATAAAAATATAATATATATTTTTGAAAAATCTTGTACAGCGTCATATTTATGAAAAATTATTAAAGGAGATAGAAGAATAAAATTATTAAAATTAAGATATTAATATATCTTGTGATGCGTTGAAATTGTGCATTTTTGCAATACTAAAATCTAATTAAAAATGCATATATATTTATTTTATTGTTATTCCAAGTAAGATTTTTTGTGCACGTTGTTGTTAAACATTAAATAGATAATGTATATATTTTATTCCATATTAAATTTTTTTATACAAATAAAATAATTTAAAATATATAATATATAAAATATTTGAAATTAGAGTTTCTGATAAACATATAATAAAACAAAAACATAAAAAGAATAAGAGTATTACGCTGTGCAATTAATTGATACATGAGTGATACATATTAGAAATTTACTTATAAGAAAATATAAAATAATATTTATTAAAATTATGTTTATGGAGCTAATGTGAAATTAAAGTTGCGTATTTATCTAATTTTAATTATTTAATTATTAATTATTGCGTATTTATCTTATTTTAATTATTTTTAAATTATAATTTTACCAGTAGTTCCAGTGTCGAAAAAATTAAAGTTGAAGAATGTTTCTGCCAGTAAGTGTAGATGAGGTACCGCTTATCAGAATAAAATTTCGGCACTAGAAACAAAGAAATACACTTGCGTGAACTTTTTGTAAATACACGAATCTCATGAGAAAGATCGACAAATCAGTCGAGTAAATATTCATAGCTCTGAGAAATTTGTTCAATTGTGTTTCGGTACATTCGCACAACTCATAGTAAATTAGAAAATTTATATTAAAATTTATGCTAGAAGAAGATTTCATTTTGTATCGAAATTGCCAGAATAAAATATAAAGTATCTTGTAAATTACTGATTTTTCGACATTTCTACTTTAGTAGTTCTATATACAGAATAATAAGAGGAATCATATTCCTCTTATGAAAAGTGTGAAAAAATTATGTAATCCATTTAAAAAAGTGAAGATGATCTTATTTGATCATCATATCTTTTTAAAGATATGATAGTCAAATATCTCCTAGAAAAAACGTAATTAAAATATTTTTTGAAACTATTCTATTTTTATTTTTTTGTATCATCAATTCTGAGAAAATTGACTAGATTAATTACATAAATATTAATAATATCTATAAATTTTAAATTTCAGTTTTTTAAGTCATACATTACATATAGAATTATGCAGAAAATGTATTACAGAAAATGTATTAAAAAATAAAACTATTTCTACACTTAGAAAGAAGAATTACATTATCTTCGATCGAATCAGATTATCGACAATTTGAAATGGTCAGAGATACTGAAGAAGTCAGCACTTTTCCTAAAAGTAAAATATATTTTATAAGTGCACAAATGTGAAGCATATAAAATTGAGATGTCGAAGGTGAAATGTCGAGATGTTAAATAGATTTGCGCAACTCTCCTATAGTTATCGCGCAAGTAGGTTTTAAGAATTTTTTCTTTTTTATTATAATAAAGAGAACATCAGTAAAATCTCGATATCATTTTATTCCATCAATTACTTAGTTAGTCGTATCTCGTATTCCAAGAAACGCTATTAAAGTGCAAGTGTTTCAATTTCACGATAGTATCATATGTATTGTTTGTATACAAACGAAATTTTAAGTAAATTAGAATAAAAATCGACGTCAGAAGAAGGAAAGAGTACTTGATCGATATGTGCAAAAAAGAGGGGATAAACATATTCTCTTCCTCCGCAGTCATACTTTGGAGCTCACAGAGAAATGATCTGCATTGGGACTAAATATTTTAGTCTTAACTTTTCTGCTTGCTATAGGATTGTGGCCATACAAACAATCAAAACTTACATGTCTTCAGTTCATCTTTCTGCTCAGTGTTTTAATAAGCTTTATTTTATTTCAAGTAAAGTAATACCTTAATATTATCATTATAAAAGAAGTAACAATAAATTGAGCGATTATTTGTTAACACATTTATTAACACATATAACAGTTTATATGTTTAAAAATGATTATTATATACTATCAATATATTGTAATTATTTAGATATAAGGTCTCTACTTATATATTTAAAAGTTAATAACTTTGAATCAATAGCATAAAATTATAATATATATCCAAAGAAATTATATTTTACATAATTTTTTTTAATACAAGCTTGATAATATAATTATTGCTTTTAGTTAACCGCATTTTTAACTATCAAGCATACTTCTGACATCGTCATTAAAATTCTTTCTACTGCATTTTTTTCTATTACCTTTGTAATAAAATATATCTCGTTTGCTGTTAATATCAAAAATGTAAGTTGGTTATGATAGAAGATGGTTACGTTCCGTTTGTGAGTAGATGTTACTAAAAAATGTACTTTTATAATTAGAAAATTTTGTCAGTTATATAAACTGAATTGTTGAACTGATAGGTAAAGTATTTATTGACGGAACTTCAGTATATATACAACAATTTAAAAGATGAATATGAAAACCTGCTTGTAGCATGATTGCTTTAATTGTTGCCCAATTTTGGACGAGTATCATTAACAACACTTTATCAAAAAATGTATCTCAATCTCTACTTATTACAATGGAATATTTTATCGATTAAGAAAAACATTTTTATTTAATCGTGCGGCATATATATGCAGCTATTAGCATAGGATGTATCGCGATATATATAATATATCAGAATAGCAATAGGAACAATGCTCGTAGCTTCGACATATTTGTGGAGTACTTAGTATCTCAAGGTATAAAACAAACACAGACAAACCTAAAAAATTCTAATTATAAACAAATGTGTATAATTATCTTGGATGAATCTACAGATTTTACTTTTAAAAAGCAAAAGAGATAAGTTATGTGATAAATGTTTATAGTTATCGTATTGAATGCGTAATGAGAATAAATATGCTTCAAAATACCTTAAAGAACGAAAATTTGATATTTAAACGAATGATATATGCCATTGATATTCATCGACAAGCTATGAAGTTAGTATTCATATAATGTAACATTCATATATGTATAAATAATGTAATATTTATTTGTGCTTGAAGATTATCTAAACTGATGGTATCTAAATTTGAGATAATGTTTTTCTGCTTAATAACAGTTGGAGTAATTTGTTTGAGCCTCAATCTCTTCCGAGTAAGTTTCAGATTTCTAAAAAGATTTGTACATTTACATGATATAATATTTACAAATTTATAATTTACTGCTATAGAAGTATGCTGTTTCAGGAATTTTTCTTCGACTTAAAAAAATTTATATAAATTTTATTTTATAATTATTAGTAATAATTTATATTAATAATATTTTTTAAATATTTAAACAGCATATTCCATTAATTATATAATTTAGGCTTAACATTTAATAGAATAGTGTATTATATTATCACATGTACAAATAATATTTAAATAAAATTATATATATATATATTAGATTTTTCAGATTGATATATTTGAGGATAATGTCAATGAATTTCTATTTCCTCTTATATTCGTAATAGCCAGTACTTTATACATGTTTATTGCCAATTATATTGGGCAAGATGTTATGGATTACACTAATCATATATTCATTACTGCGTAAGAGTATTTTTTTATGTAATATTATTATGTATAGAGTGTTCCATTTAATTTTCATATCAAAATATTTGTTTCGAATAGAACTAGACTTTCGATTCTACACAAGAAACTTTATTGAATATATAATGTCGTTATATAAATAAGAACGACAGAACGCGGACAAGACAAGATGGATGACAACATAACGCTTTCTTTCCCATATTTCCCTTAATTAACGCGCTCGCTTAATCTACGCAGTCAATAACTTATCTTTAGCTGCATCGCGTTTATCATAAGACCTCTATCCATTGCAACAATATTTCAAAAATATAATAATATAAAAAATACGGAAAAATATTTCATACAAAAGTTTTATGATCTAAAGTATGATCTAAAGTACGAAATAATGAATTTAATCAATTTTCGAAAAAAAAGTCGATTTTTTCGCATAAAGGTTATGGTCATTTTTAAAATAGAATTGTATGATTCTTTAAATAATTATATTAAATAATAATATTAATATAATTACTCTAATTATTCTGTGCATAAAAATATTAAGATATGATTATCAAAAAATTAATAGTTATGAGACATTTCTATAGTTTATAAAACATTTCTTATATTTTACGTCAAAATATGTCAGAACGATATATAAAATATCTTGTAAACAATTATAAACTTTTCAATATCTTTATTTTAGTATTTATATGCAATCTTATATAGATATACAGAATTGGTGGAATCATATTATATGAAAAATTCGAACAATTTTATTTTAAATAATTATAAATAATCATGACATTCATCTAACTTTGAAAAATAAGTTTTTTTGAAAATTGGTTTTACTATTATTTGACTCTCTTTACATTATACAACTTTAGTCTGAATCATTTTTCTGTATCTCTAATATTTTTCGAAATATTTCGATGTAAAAACTGGAAGATTCTGTATGTGTGTGTGTGTGTGTGTGTGTGTGTGTGTGTGTGTGTGTGTGTGTGTGTGTGTGT